CGACTTTGCGACAATTACAGCAGGAGATGTTGAAGGCACACATATGAAGTGTATAAGGCTGTGTGTATATATATAACTTTAGAGTGAGATTAAGTCATAGTTGGAGAAACAAAGTGCTTCCACAGGCTTCCTCATAAACGTGTGAAGCCGAGCAAATTGAACTAGCTGCTGAATGTTTGCTTAAACCGCAACGATAAAGAAAAAGAAAAAAAGCATTCGTTTGTCTTTTCCTTTTCTGTCTCCTTCCATTTGGCACTTGAGAACGAGGCACAATATTTACTTTAAGTGTCCAGCCTTCACAGGAGGCCTTCTGGAGATGCTTTTTTTTGTTTTGTTGGTACAGTCCCTGTTTTGCAGGCGGGATGGCAGCGTGTCAGACAGGCAGCCAGGCAGGTAAGCAGACAGATCCGATGAAGTCCAGTGGAATAAATGAGCTGGCAAACTGGTGGTGCGAGTGCTAATGGTGCTTTAACAGAGATGGTGTACAAATCAGTTTAATGAGATAGAGAAATTTAACAAATATGTGTTTAGACAGGGATTGTAGTGGCCAGAGTGGAGCAAACCTACGGTGCAGCAGGGACAGATGAAGGAAGCACAAGTTACAGTTTGTTCTGTCTAAGAAACAGTCCAAAAATAAAGATATTCAGCTTCAAACTGAATCTTCTGCATCACTTAAGGACAGGCCCACATGGTGACACCTGCCTGCTGCAATCGTTCAACGTAAAAGCAAAAAAAAAAAGGAAATATAAAAGCCAGAGAGACTCAGAGAGAATACTTCTGCAGAGGACGCGTTTCAGAATCCGAGGCACGGAGTGATTTGATTTAAAGAAAATCAGATATTTGCAATCATCTCCTTGAAATGGCAGGTTTAACAAAAGATACAGAGGCAGAGCATCCCTGCACCGGGGAGCAGCGCCGCTTCAACAATAGGCAGGCAAGCGGCGTGGACGGGCGGAGAAAAGTGCACATTTCAGGCAAATACATGCGCTGATAGCTGCTCCACCAATATGCATACTTGCACCACTTTCATAACTATCGACTCAGTGCTGCGGCTGAATAGGAAGCAATTTCTGATGCAAAAAGGGGAGATATTTTAGATGCAAGTGGAGGGAAATTGTTGTGCAAAGTGTGATAACAACAAGATGGAAGCACATGCTGCCTCTCTGACTGTTCTGTTGAATAGCTGTTTAGTCAACAGTGCATTTGGATCACCCACATCGCTGCTGGTTCTGGTTTCCTTTGTGTAACAAGGACGCCGGATTAAATGCATACCTGTTTATCATGTGACATTTTAAAGTAGTCTGCAACCTCTTTTAACCGGCTCTACAAGACGCACGCCTTTCAGCAGACGTGATGTTTGGCTCTTACAGCGGACACTTTAGCTTGTCATGCTAGACTTTAGACCGGCTGCGTTCTGCTCAAGTGCATCAGAGAACCATGACAACATGACAACATGTCGGCCGTGCACGATGCTGCAGCCCTGAAACTGAAGCTCTCACGTGGAATTCAACCATAATTCACTTTAATACGAACAGCTGCTAAAAACAGACTTTTAATGGTTTTGGAGCTCTGAAGAGGTAAAAAACTCTCATCCATCCATCCATCATCTCTACACCTTAATCCTCACTAGGGTCGTTGGGGGCGGAGCCTATCCCAGCTGACTCAGGGTGAAGACAGGTTCACCTGGACAGGTAACCAGTCTATCACAGGGCTACACTTAGAGACAGACAACCAAGCACACTCACATTCACACCTATGGACAATTTAGAATCACCAGTTAACCTCAGCATGTTTCTGGACTGTGGGAGGAAGCTGGAGAACCCGGAGAGAACCCACGCTGCACGGGGAGAACATGGAGACTCCACGCAGAAAGATCCCGGGTGTCCTCACCGGGACGTGAACCAACGACGGTGCTAACCACAGATGCACCTTGCAGCCCTGAAACGCTCATAATACCCAACATGTATAGTATAAGTAACAGAGATTTTTTTGTTTCTTGCGACCTCTTGGATTTGTCTCGTGACCCCTCTAGAAGGTCATGACCCTGATGTTGGGAACCAGTCCATCCAGCAGTCTTTAGCGGTCTTGGACTTCTAACATAGACTCCCTCTTCATGTGCACGCCTTAGCGCTGGATAAAGAGTTATTTTCTAAACCTAGCGTCAGTGGCATTAAGTACTCTGTGTTTCTGCACATTTTTCCAAATTAGCCAATCCTCACAAAGGACTTAAACGAGCCCGACTCCAGCTGATTTAATATGACTAACCCTCTGCGGTGCTATAGACTGGAGTGTGCAGGAGGTATTTCTCTACAATATTAAGTATTCATTGCATTGTAAATACGGACAAATGCAATCTGAAGGCGACACGAGGCGCTGGGAATCAGTGGTTAGCCAAATATGTAGTGATTGCAGTTTCCACGGCAGTGTTCTTGTTTTTCATCCTTCATCCTCCTTTTTCTGCCTGATTTTCACATTTCCATGTACACTTAGCTCTGCTGTTGAATATGCGCTTTTTTAATTCATGGTACCGCGGCATCGGTGTCGGATAAGATGATTCATCTCTGAACTTCCTTTGATCTCATTCACACCTGAGAATAGAACGGGTCAGCGCTTGGTCTTTTTCACTGACTTGATTCTGATTAATGTAAATCCCATTCCTGGTTTTAGACCCTCCATTGTACGCGTTGAATAATAGAAAAGGAAATTCCAATCACTCACATCCGTGCAGATACAGAGTGCACACCCGTACGCTCAGAGACATACTAGCATCACATTTACTCTTTTTTTTTTTCCCTTCCTTGTCTTGTCTATGCTCTCTTGCTTCATCTTGGCTTTTCACACTGTGTCAGTTCCCCGGTGGCTCCCGGAGCTCTGCCGGCCCCCACTGATTTCCCTCGGTGTTTGAGAAAGATATAGGAGTTAGCTGTAGGCAGCGCCGCCGCGTCCCACCAGCCTGTGTGATGAAATCAATCCACAACATGTGTATCTGCGCCGGCTTTTCTTTCTCTGTTGTTGCATCTTTTTCACGTGTGAATAGTTAATGACTTTCCTCTGAGTCTCTTCACTCATTACACGGCGGCTTGATAGACATGCATCGCAGCGTTTACAGACTCTCTTTTCCGTCTCTGTCTTTGTCGTATCACTTCCTTCGCCCAGTGTCATCCAGCAGATGGGTACAAGTGATAGCGAGGTAATGGCAGTCCTGCGCATTCACATCCATCCCGCCATAAAGCCATCCAATACAGTTACGATTGATTGAGCTTTGGCTCCTGCCAGCGGACGGAGCCGATAAGAGAGGTCCTCGCCGAGGCCGCCCACATGATATCATTGTATGATTAAACACAGACGTCAGTGTTCAAGCTACGCCCAGTCCTATTACAGAATGCTGGATGCTTATCGCAGGTTGATTGATGCTGATGGCTGCGCTGCATCCTGCTCTGACGGATGTGTGCCGGTTACATGATGCTAATTTGGTGTCTGTTGACTACAGTGGGCACCGGGTCGGGTCAGCTGGCCTCTGATAGCCACGTAATGCGATTGTGTTCAAGAGACCTCCGTTTCTCCCCCAGAATGAGGACATCATCTGTTCTAGATAACCGATTTTTTTTTTTTAACACTTTAATTTGCTGCCGGTCGGGCCGTAAAAACGGCGTGCGCACACGTGTGTGACAGTCGGCGTGCACGCTCACTGAGTCATCGCTTAACGTTCCGAGGTGTGAAGTGGAACAGAGCATAGGTAATGGAGGAGATGGGACTGTGTAATTATTCTGCGGAGGAAGGATTACCAGTTTACTTAAACATTAATGGCTCACCTTGAAGTGCAAATGCCAAGGGGATAAAACTCACACCTCTCTGCCCCTCATTACCTTCAGCTGGACTCAAGACGTTTGCCGCTAAGCCGCCATTATTTAATGTAGACTTTGCATATTTTCCATTAGCCCGTTTTTGTGTCTTATTTGAGTAGTTTGGCTAATGCGCTGTGGCAAAGTACTGTCGGGTATTAAGGAGAAGCATGAAAAGAGATCGACGTTCATGAGCCGTGCTGCGCGACGCTGCAATTTGCAGCCATATTGTTGCAAAACTGAAACCAGAAGCAGAATCACATCATTATCCACATTGATTACTCGTGTCAATTTACAATTATGGTGCATTATTGCAAGCAAGATCTGCTGATTGTAGTTCTGTCTGAAAGTGACAATCCCGTCATTTAAGTACATCACATGCAGACTGACCGGTTTCACCATCTCATGAGCCACACAGCTGTCTCTGAATGAGTCCAACAAATACAAGAAGAGATATTGAGGCGTTGCACAGAGCCCTGGATGGAGATGCAGTTAATAGACACAACCAAACATCGTCTTCATGTGCGTGCCTGCAGGGATGCACACATCCTGATGTGAAAACCCCCGAATGTGAAGTTTGAGCGACGAGCGGCAGAGATTGAGGGCTGTGGGTGTGTCAAGGATTGCCTCCTATTTCAGCTCAGCTGCAGAGGGCAGGATTTCCATTTTTCTTCCCATTACCAAATGAAATGCACCCCGCTGTGAGAGCTGACATAAGGGAGGAAAACACATTAATAAGAAAGGCTAACTTTTTAAGCAGCTGTCTGGGCAGCGGTGGGTTGAAATGTTGCTTTTCATTCATCTGCTGCCGTGACAGCCCGAGTTTTAGAACCGAAAACACAATATATTAGAAATATCTGGACAAAAAAAACAAATGTTGGATTTTTTTTTTTTTACAAATTCTTGGCAGGTGTCTGATAAGTTTAACTGCTCCAGATGTTTCGCTGAGTTTTCCAGGATCTCTCGTCTGTAATGTTTAGTGACAAATGCACCAATTAGGAGGCTAAATTGAATTCAGTCTGTTTTCTTATTAGCTCGTTTCCTCCAGAGTCAAGACGACTTTTTATTCTTTCACTCTGTAAAATCATATTTCATGTCGGCAGTATTTTGTTCCCTCTCTCGTTGAGTCTCAACCTTCGTCTTCGCTTTCTCCTCCAGGGACCACGGTGATGACGATGACGGCGTTCGATGCCGACGACCCCGGCACGGATAACGCCGTGTTGCGCTACAACATCGTCAGACAGTCGCCGGACAAACCGTCGCCGAACATGTTCTACATCGACGCGGAAAGAGGCGACATCGTCACCGTCATCTCTCCGACGTTACTCGACAGAGAGGTGAGTCCACTCGTCTGGGTGCAACGTGTATCGCAGTGTTTCTTGCAGCTTTCCGAAATCGAGCTTCTAGTCAACATGGGAGTGTGTGTGAGTGTGTGTGTGTGTGTTGTATACGTGGATCTTTGTGCGATCGAACGCCGCCGCTTCCGAGCGAACCCACACGAGCGTCTCTCCATTTAGCCGTCTAACCAGAGCGAGACAACGGGATGATTGCTTTTCCAGCGGGGTGACGAATGCCAGAACATCGATTGGGTTCGCTGGTGGAAGAGGAATATTAGCTGTTGTCAGACACTTAGCGAATAGTTTAATTGAGGTGATACACACTCATCCGCCCACCCTGGTGGTGTCCAACAAGCTTGGCTGAAAAACCTCCCATCCGGAACTGCTGGAACCACAGCGCCTAACTGCCCTGATGAGCCAATCCCCCGAGCTACAGTAAACTGTTTAATAGAGGCGTAATTGATTAAAAGTACGATGAAATGAAATGTAATCAATGCGGCGAGCACCGTTAGCCGCTTTTTGCGAGGTGATGGAGAGGCCAAATAATTCAGGAGATGTATGGCGGCGCTCGTGGCTTCTGCTCCTGTAATGGGAGGGTGAAAATGAGACTTTGGAAGCATGTCCTGAAAGGGATATCTCGAAAGATAATGCTCCTGGAAGAGGGGGAGCAAAGAAAAAAAACACAATAGCAGCGCTCTTACAGTGTCGGCAGCCAAGATTTATTACACCACTAACAGGCCGGTGCTGGAATATGCAGCTGAATGCCTTTGAAGATGGCGCCTCGCCAAATTATCTGCCTGTTTGTGGCCTCAATAAATCTACGAAAAAAACAGATCGTTCCTCTTCACTTTATTTTCCATAACTCTCAAACATTATTAGCGAGCATCTCAAAGTCACAAAGGCCCGAAGCCGCTTCGTCTCTGCATGTAAGCAAAGCGACGCTGGAGTTATTATTTCAGGTCGACTCGGTGAACTCGCTGGGTGGCGGCCACGCTGTATTTTCATTTGGTTTTTTTTAGCTGTAGCTGTAGAAGCAGAGCTGATTATACACCAGTTCCAGTCAGATTTCCATTTGTTTCGATGCACTGAGGTTGAAAAAATGTTTGTCGAAGCCTCCTGGAATCGTTTTTTTGGTTTTGGTGTGATTTGAATGGAGGGATGGTGAGCGCTGGTTGGATGATTAAGACGCCGTTTAAGTGTTTTCGATTTCAAGCAGTGATTCAGCTCGATACCTGCGTGAAGCGACGCCGCAGTCCATGAAATCTTCATTTCATACAAGTGGAATCCAAAGTGCAATGTTTTTTTTTCCAACCAGGAAAACAGGCATGGAGGTGATATTAGCCCGCCGTGGTGTGCAGAGTCCGACTGTAGAGGCAGCATAAGCCCCGAGCGCCTTGTATGATTGTCTACATGTTGTATCTACAAGTATCTGCCCCCCTCTTCCCCACAGTTTATAAGTGTGCAGTTTTTATTTTTAGAAAAAACATCCTGAGGGTTTTGGAGAAAGTCCAGCTGCTGCACAGGATGAAAAAAAGCCAGATGGAAGTGCAGGAGGGACCAGTTTGAAACTGTCCTCCTCGAAGTTTGAGGCTAAATCTCTGCCACTTCAGCACATTCCCATAAATATGACTCCAACAACGACAGCCATCGATTCCATCTGCTTTCTGAAGACAACATGTCGGGCATATGTCAGCAATGTTTGTGACAAAGAGACGGAGAGAAGTTTAAAGAGAACGATGAAGCAGTGGGAGAGAAAGAAAGAAAGAAGGAAAAGAAAAAGTGAGAGACAACCAAACTTTGCCCCCGTTTCTCCAAAACACCTCCGGCGTAGTTCAGGTGCTGCTCTCGGTGTGTTTGGATCGACACCTCACCTGCCCCGGGGAGGTAGAAAGCAATCCGGAGAAAATTGGAAAATCAATTTTGTCACATTGAAATCAGTTTGATTTTCCCTCTAGTGCTTCTGTGAGGCGTAAAATCCTGCCTTGATATGCACATCTATTCCACCGCCGTCTGTTTTTCTCCTCACTTTGCTTCAGACGCGTCTCCGGCTGACGTTACCGAGACGCACGCCGTCGTCGGATCAATGGCGGGCTGTAATTTCTGACAGCTGATGTCGCTGCTCGGATGAGGAGTTTTCATAAGTTTAAAAAGATGAAGGGCGTGCTCGTATCGTTCACCGGAGATCTCTCTTAATTTGCTTCATAGAAATCTCAGCCGAACAACTGAACATCTTTGCTGCAGCGCGTCTCCGTACAGCGCGCTGGGATTTCTGCTTTTAATTATTTGACTTTATTTCACGTGTCGGCGGACGCTAATGCGAACCAGAAAAGCCAATATGGGAAGCAAAGGGTGTTTGACTTATTGTTTCTGATTAGGTCTGACAGGAAATACATGGAGCGATAATGAGAAAGAGGACGCGAAGGGTTAACGGCACTCAGCAGCATTAATAAGCCTCGTGGCCCGTGTGAAGGCGAGCATACGGCGGCCTGACAGAGGAGGAGTGTGAGGTTATCTCTGGAACATGTCGCTGAAATGTGGGATAAAGTGTGTGTGTGTGTCGGTGAGGATAACTTGGTTAATTTAAAGACCCTCCTCCAATAAATAACAACTTTTTAACCTTGCTGACGTGCCCACATAATCATACATCGTGAGCAAAACAAGCACTCGACACCAAGGCTGAGCGTTTCTACCAACCAAGCCGGGTCAGAACGAACGAGAGAGAGCAAGAGAGGGATGGCTGAGCTTTATGGGTCGTCCTGGTGCCTTCAGGGACCCACAGGTATCTGGACTTCTAGGCCTCCAGGGCAGCAGCTGACATCGGGCCGTCACATTTTCTACAGAATTAGTTTGTTTGGCTGAACAACATGGATCATGTTTGTCTATAATGCATCATAAATACTTCGCCGTACCGGTTGTATATTTTAGATGGGGTGGCATTTGTCACCGTGGTAACCCAAAACATGGAGGAGAAGCTTCAAAGGCTTGTATCTGGTTGCTCATGACACCAAGTTTCTAACACGTCTACTGAGGCCCGGTGCTTTCCTAAACCTGACCCCCTGGTGTTCTGGCTGTTCGGTCCAGATGATTCGGTTCTGTGTGCTTCCAGTCTCAGACCTCCTGGACGCTGAATTACACCAGACATGGGTCATTCCATCTCCAGATTATCTTCTGCTCAACCGCCTCTGGTTTGCAGGACGCTTTTAAATCATGACCTGTGGATGTTTAAAACGGCATCTGTGACACTTTCCATTAATATGTCATTCTGATAGTTTCTATTCAAAATCGCCCGTCAACCGGCTTTCAGTACGTTTTTGCATTGAGTTGGAGATTTCGGGGATTTACCAGAGGGACTTTGGATGAATAAATCAGCTGCTCGGAGACAACGAAGCACCTTGATGGAGGAGAGGAGCCTCTGCTGACCTGCATCCTACAAAAAACACCTATAATCCAGATACCTCAGCTGATTTATCAGTCCGACCCTTCAGCTTCATGCACCACCTCCCGCTGTTGCATCCTGACCAGAGCACATCCTGTTTATAGGCTCGTGAACCGGATGAGCGAGAAGCAGTGAGGAGGTCGATGTAGGGACGACAGGTGACTGAAACTTACCCGACCGTACCTTGTCTTCGACGTCACCGGGCCTCTCTGAAGCTGATCATGTGAATAATTTGCTGCTGGAAAATCCATACAGTCGCTGGTAACAAGCATGACTCTTTAAAGAGCACATATTTTTATGCTTTTCGGGTTTTTCTCTGTTCCCTCAGTGTTCTGTTTAGATGCTTTTTCTGCCTGTAAAAGGTCTGCAAACACAAAGCCCAAGGTCCACGCCGACGGGAGATATTCTGCTCCTTACCTGCCTGCAACGCCTCATTTGCTTTGCTGCTGTTTCTTACTAATGTGTAACACATTCTCCTCAGAGACTGGAGCTAAAATGGAACGCTTTTGTGTATTTTGAACCTTATAGCTCTTGTAGGAGACCCCGAAGTAAAATTAGGAATGTGTAACTTTGCACATTATAACCTAACGTGTTGTTTTTTTGCTGATATTTCTTCTCATCTCTGCTGTTGTTTGAGACCTAATGAGCTCATTTGGAACCGTCCACACAATCACAAAGAGAGGCGCGAGGAGTTTACCTCGACGCAGACGCGAGGAGGAGATATTCTGAGAAGTAATATCAGCCGCTAAATAAGAAAGATGAGAGGGCTCGCTAACGTTATTGGCTCGAACTTATTGCAGAATACATTTGAAGTTGCGGTACAGTGATAGAATGATCACATTTCCTCGACGTGCCCACCGACATACACACACACACACCAGCCGCTGTAATCTATTTCGGTCTGTGGAGTGTCCGTATGCAGGCCGCCTGTAACCAGAGAGGACAGACTGCTAATGGCAGTGTGACTTTCTGACTCCCTAATGCTCTCTGGCCAATCTGGAAGCTGTCACCGCTCAGGATGGCCAATCGATGGAGCCGACCGACCCCTCCGTTCCCCCCCTGCGTGTTCGACAAAGGTGAATTACATGTGGGGTAAAATGGAAGTCTGCTGCTTTGTGCGTCTGCTGGCGCCGTGATGTGTACTTTTTTTACTTTTGTTTAGAGTCTAGCTTGCACTTTTACAGCCGGCGCGTGTGGAGGTGTGTGAAATCCTTTTGTTTGTCAGAGAGAGAACAAAGCCCGGTACAGTGCAGCAGCTGTTTGTTTTATATGAAGGTGACTTTCAAATAGAAGCTTAAGAATCACTTTCAGAAACCAGTAAGCAACAGTCCGACCGCGGAGCTGTTCCTCAGCCGGTTGTACAAACGGTCTCTTTTAAGAAGCAGTTGGAAGGACTTTAACTGTAAATGTTTGCATAACGAGCAGCAATAAGAGCATTGGATAAACGTACAGTTACCCCCGTTCAGCGTCATAGTTTCCAATCGCGGCTGCAAGTAAAGTGACCCGGTGTTTGTTTGGCACCGTCCGTCCCCGATAGCGTTTGACTGATAAGAAAGCTGATCCT